GTTTTTTTCTCTTAGCATGTCTGTATACACATACATATATGTTCACCTGTGTATCTGTGTATATCCCATTATTAACAATGAGCATTAAGTGTAGACATCAGGGATGAAATGGACTGTAAAATTTCCATGCCATCTGCCCACACTGGCTGCAAAAAAATGCTCAGATGTTTATAAAAGCTAGACTGAATGATGATATGAGGATGATGATGATGTCTCTATGTGGGGGGTGATGATGATGATGTCTCTCAACTGGCAAACTTTTCTGAAACTCAGAAATGTTTGTTCTGTGATATGCCTTCTTTTCAAATTTGTGATTCCAGTTTTGTGCTCTGTTGGAGCACCATGTAGATTGAGCAAAACAAAGTTAATGCTATGACAAAGTATTTTGATATCTTGTCCTAATTCAAGACAGGGTTTCTCACCTCTCCATGGGAGAGAGCTGGTTGGCAGCCTGGGCTGAGGCTGCAACTCCAATTTTGGTGACAGTAGCTGTGTCATTGGTTTTGTTCTTCCACAGGACGACAGGATGAAAGCAGAACCAGGAGTGGAATTAAGGTGGCAAATCTGTAGATTGAAGAATATAAATTCAGTTATAGTATTGGATATGATATTAGCCAAGTTCAGACAATTTTATTTATGTTGAGCAGCATCCAGAGCCTGCTGGAGCCAGTGGCAGTTTTGCCATCAGTTTCCCCGAGGAGTAGGATTTTGCTTATTGTTTAAATTAGCTATATCTTCATGGGAGCATATGGGAGCAAATGCAAAGGTCTTGAATTGAAGAAGCCAGTAAGCAGCTTTATGCATTTATTTTGTTACACAGGTAAAAGCTGAGACAGCAAAACCCATCTGCTAAGCCTTCAACACATCTCTGTAAAATCTATGTTAGGGTAAGAGTGTTCTTTTCTATTTTATTTATGGCCTTGGCTGCCTGAATGAATGCATCTGGAGCTCAGATGTCTGATGCCCTTATTGTAAATTAGTTAACTTAAAGAACTGCACGCACTGTCAGGTCTTTGCTGTGGAAATGCCAGGCTCTGTAGTGGAGGTGCTTTTGTGTGTGCATATGTTTTTTTAAGTGAAAAGGCTCTTGAATTTTATGCATAAACACTATTCTCTGTCTCTCTTTTTTTTTTTTTCCCTCCCTCTTTTGTTACAGAGTGTGGACTAGCATTGAATATTCAGGGAAAGCTCCCCAGGGAGATTAGGGACATGGACAGATTTTAAACAGAGCCCTAATGCATGGACACGAAAGGACAAACATTCTAGTGGGAATACTTGTGCAAATTCCCTGCTTTGGGGTCAAAATGCATTAAACAGCTGCTTGCATGCTAAAGATGCTTTTAAAATCAATACAGACCAGAAATTATAACATTTATAAATAGAGATGGTGCTCAGTGAGAGTAGAAGTACTTTGATGATGCCTTTTGTTATAAATCATACAAGAATATATAGCAGTCCTAGAGAGAAGTACATCTATAAATCCCTTTCTGCAGGGCTCAGAATCCCAGACTGTGCTGAAACTTACTTCAGGCAGGATTTGCCCTTATCCTTCCATGTCCTGGAGGGCTATGGGAACTGAGATTTAACAGCAGTAGGAATTAGATGTCTTGACATGAATAAACTGCTGTTATCATCAGTTACTCTGATTACACTGTTGTGGAAGATAGCTTATTGCTATATTTAATAAATCTACATTAAAAGAAATTGAATGAAGCCATTGCACAAACAAGCAGTAGCAGTACATGTATTTGGGGTTCCTGTGCAGTAGCTAAACTCAGGTAGAGTCCAGCTGTAAAAACTGGCAACCTGGATGGGTCAGCATCTGAAATTGGGTTGTATAACAGCAACATGGTAATATCAAAGCTGCAGTGTGGCTTTAATTACCACAGAGGTAGTATTTATCATATTGCTATGTGCACATTTAAGAATAAATGCAATTTAAAAAAATATTTCATTCTGAAATAAATAGATTGCCTTACTGTTGCTGCACATTTGCTTTATTGGTCCTCAGCCTGACTCCACATTACTTCTGTGCCCTGTTGTCTGAAATGGAAACAGGTGTTATTTGCAATATAGAAGTGCAGCAGTATTTATATCATACTTAGATCATTCAGGTTCCCATTATAGACCACATTTTATTACATGTACATTTCATAAGGCCCATTGCCTCTATTGCTGCTGTCTCATGTTATGGTAATCCCTAAAAAAGCTGCCACTAAATTGAGGCCCTTTGTTTTTTACATGCTGCATGCTTGCAGCTGCTGCAAGTATTTGACAGGTTCAAAGTCCATATTTCCTTAAGTTCCATTTTAGTTTGGGGCAAAAGAACGGGTCTTCAGTGTGGCACCCTGCAGACTGCACGCTGCAGCCTGCAGCTTTTTATTGCTACCTGCTTCCTGACTGTCCCCATGGCTCTTCCTTTGGCTCCTCTTTGGATTCTACTGGTTCAGGCATTTTTTTCCAACCTCACAGCTGTTTTCTGGCCTACCACTCTTAATTGTGCTCTTTAAACCATTCCTTGGAGACATCTCTGCACTAAAAGTAGCTCCCAAGCTTATTCTGCAAGCCAGTTTTGAGGACTGTGTTGGGTGCATGTATCCCATTTGCCTCTTGGAAGACAGCAGTCAAGTCCCACTCTGTAAGAAATAGAAAGAGCTGCAGCTGCTGTACATGTGAGATATAATTTTGGATTGTTTCAGAATGAGGTGGCCTCTCTAACCTTGGACTTGCTCTCAGAAATGCCTGTGGTGTAACCACATGCAACAGTTTGTGTTTTGGATGTTAAAGGGCACAGTTCTCTGTGACAACACAACTGCTGTTGGCATGAATGGCAGGATTTCATAGCTGCACTCGTACATGGCCACTAAAGCTAATCAGCCACCAAGGCAAGTCAGGCACCTCTCCACAGGCTGGTCCTTGCTCAAATAAATATTCTGAGCCCCTGAGACTGCACTTCTGGCATTGACCTGGCTGCCCTTACGTTCTCCTACTTGTGGTACTAAGTTTTCCACAGGAGGCGGGATGCACCGTGCAGCCGGCTTGGATTCTGCTGCTGCTGCTACCCTGTTGGGGCTGCTCCCCCATGACTGAGGGGCTCAAAGGAGCCGGGCAGGAACCCACAAAAGCAGGACTAGGCAGTGAAATGAAGCCACTTCCCGAAGTGTTCCTCCGTGCGGAGGGAAAGGTGAATGACGCTTGCCCGTGTGTCCAGAAGGTGGCAGCGGCAGCCCGAGCCTACCGGCTGCTCTGGCTTGTCCGGCGCACCCCGCTTGGGAACACCCTCGCTAATCCGGGCTCTCCGCCTCCTTAAAGGCTCTCAGCCCTCTAAGCTTGGAACTAAGCCGGTGCTCTCATTGCGTGGCTGCAGGCCTCTGAGCCCACGGGTGACAGGCTTGTGGGGTGACCAGCCATCGGTGTGACTGGCGTCTTGGGACTTTGAATAAGCAGCTAAGTGCTGGCAGGAGCAGAAGCTCTAAGCTGCTGGATCTTTACCTCCTCATTACAAAATTAGTTTAAAGCTCTGCACGGTGTCTCCAGACAGGCTTTTCTCCACTTCAACAATAAAACTATGTCTTGCAACAGATGTGTTATTACTCATGCTGGCTAGCATTTCTCAGGTGTCACAACTCTAAATACTAGAAGAAGAGACGATTCTTTATTTTCTCTGTTTTGGGGAAATCTTTGTGAATTGGAAAGGTAGACCTGGAGCAGGAGTTTTGCTCTGTGATCTGACACTTTCAGCCAAGGTCTGAGGTGAGGAGACATCTTGGTGCTGGAGGGCTCTCAGCTCAGCATCCCGGGGCAGTGAAGCTGTTTTGCTACAAAGGAGAGTAGATAAAACTTTTGTTTCGAGCATGCTTGAGGAGTCAGACGAGTTAGGCTTTTCTGCAAGAATGATTCTGGCTATTATGTTTCCTTTCTTGAGATGAAAGATAGCTTTCTTAATTTAGACAATGGTGTTCCGGCTTCAGAAACCACAGGGTTCCATGTGAAATTTTAGAGATATCCTGCTCTCCATCTTGGTTCCCATTTTCCCTTACTAGCATTATTGCTTTTGGTTATAAAATAAAAAAACCCAACATATTTTCTTCCCTCTTCCCTTCACCCTATCTCACCTCAGCAGGAGCCCAAACCAATCTCCTGTGCCTACCACTTGGAGCCAACTGCTGTGGTAGGAAGGAGAAGGCAGATACCAAGCCAGCTACTGGTTGTGGTGCCTGTGCCAGCCCTCATCTTCCAGCCACTGCCCTCTGTTCCCTCCATGGCAGCAGTCCAGTTGTGAACATTTAGCAGGCAGGAGCAGATACTTGAGGGAAAGCAGTGGTCTGCCTACTGAGCATGCTGGTCACTTTTGCAAAAAACCCAACAAAACAACACTCAAAATATCCCCAAACTTCCAAAGCTCTCTTCTGTGCTGGTTCTTAGGCACTATAAGTTTTCATCTAGTGGCATGAGATTGAAAAGCTGTCTGGAATAAACTCCTCATATCTGGGCACAGTGTGTTACTGTGTGCCTTCACTTTAACAGTGTCCTGAAAAGACCCTTTTTCTTTAGAGGTATAAACTGAGTAGCTAGAAGTACAGGTAATAGGGTCCATTTAAATTTTAAAAAAGGTTTTACCACTAGGGAGGAAATGTGTAGGTTGAAAATAAGGAGCAGAGGAGAAATTATTTCAGGTTTCACAGCTGATATTGTGCTGGAACAGCTTGCTTTTTTCCCAGGTGCTTATCTGCTATTGATGGCTTTTGGCATTCTGCATATGCAGAAAGGCAGAATATGCAGCTGGACAAGAGGGCTGCATACAGAAAGAACATTTCTGACCTTGCAACAGCTTCAGATGTTGCAGTTCCTTCTTATTTCTTCCCATGTTCTTTGTTTCTTATATAGTTTCCTTGTTTAAGATAGTTTAGGGGTTGGGACTCTATGTTTTTTCTTATTTTTATTTATTTTGCTGGTTTACACCACTTCTGATAAATTCTTTATCACCTGCTCCCATCAAGGCAAACTGCAGGGCTGCTTCCCTTGTGTAGCAGCTGTGCTGGAGGACTGCTGATGAGGAACAAAATGGGAGCTACTGAGCAGTCATTTGAAGGCTGGCTATTAAAAAGAAAAAAGCTAGCTAATTAGAGCTTAAAGGAAGAGGCAACACTTTGTGCAAAAACACCAGAAGGTAAGCCCTCCAAATCCCATACACTCCCTGTAAATAGCTATAATTAACCCCACAGTATTCAATTTATTAATTAAAATTTAATTAATATTTTCTGTCCTTGACAATCATTTTAGAGGTGGTCAGGAAAACATAGTGGCAGCTGGGTTCCCATAGAGCAGCAGTGACATTTAAAAAGGCACAGCCACAGGAGACTCCTCTCAGTCATACCTGTGATAAAACAGAGTGAAAGTGGCCACTGGATTTCTGGGAAAGTGGGGGGAGGATGGGAGACACTTCAAGTCTTGCTGTTCTCCTGCATGCTTCCAGACATCACCCTACAAATGCAGTACTCATCTTGATTATTTGAAGGTGTGAGAGAACAGTGGAAAATGTGTGTCATCTTTCCTTACTGACCAATTTACACACCAACTGGGGGCTGCTCTACATCACTGTGTTTCACTTAGGTTTGGTGTTCTGTTTGGTGCTCTGTCTGGGAGAGTGAACTGCATGGACCCTATCAAAGTACAACAGCTATTGCTTAAAAATGCTGTGGCTGAACTTGGTGCACTGCTGCTCTTCTCCAGCAGTGGGTTTCTGGGTCATTCATACTACCCATGGTCAGTATGCCCAACACCTGTCAGTGTGAGAGCACTCCTCTGGAACAAATCCATTGGGATCCCCAGTGGGAAATGTGAGTGTTGTCAGCTGTGTAGAGCACTTCAAGGTTTGCTTCAAACAGATAGCATAGATGTGGAAGACACCAAATGTGTTTCCTTCAGCAAGGACAGTGCTTCAGCATTATCCAAGGTCAGACAATAGTGTAATTCATGCCCTCACCCATCCTTTTTCTAGAGCACACAACAATTTTTTTTTTGGCATTATAGTTTTTTGACTCAGCACTGCTCTGATTGCCTGCAGCATACACCTGTTAGTATTCTTCACACTTTAAACTGAAAAAACCCACCAAGCCCATGAACAGAAAATACTAACTACAAGGTCATGAGAGGAAATGTGAGCTGAGCACTGTGAAGTGTGGCTCAGAGTGGTCCCCACTCAGTAGGGAACAAACTGAACAGTGTGGTCATGAGCCATCCTGCAGAAACTGGCCTGTGGCTAAGGGTCTGCAGCACAGGCCTGGTGAGAATAGCCATGAGGTGAAGGTCTTTTGTTCCCCATTTGACAGAAGGGTGCATACTGAATGAGTGAGAGAATGTACTCAGAGCATGTTGAAAGCAGATCTCCCAGGTCACAGGGGAAAATCTTCCAGTACAAAACTGTTAAGAGCAACTGGGAGAGGAGGTGAGCTGCACTGACCATCATCATGAACACCACCTCTCCGCTTCTCTGAATGAAACATGAGAGGTTAGGCAGATTTTTGGTGTATCTAGTGATTCAGGCCTTTGTGGTGGGAAAGTGGCATGACATCTTGTCACAGACATTTTTTATGAAAAATATTTTCTTTAGAATTTTTCCTCCTAAGAAGCCAAGAGGCCTCAGGAACAAAATGTAAATAATAGTTATCTGCTGCTGTGGAATGCAACAGGTGGATCTTTGATTGGCCCATGTTAGTTGTTTTTAATTAATGGCCAATCACAGTCAGCTGGCTCAGACTCTCTGTCCGAGACAGAAGCCTTTGTTATCATTCTTTCCTATTCTATTCTTAGCTAGCCTTCTGAAGAAATCTTTTCTTCTATTCTTTTAGTATAGTTTTAATGCAATATATATAAAATAATAATTCAAGCCTTCTGAAGCATAGAGTCAAATCCTTGTCTCTTCCCTCAACCTGAGACCCGTGTAAACACAGTCACAACATCTCTCAATCCCAGGGAGGCAGGTACAAGCTGTGCAGTGCAACAAGGCCAGAAGTGCTTCTGAGAACACCCAGAAGCAGAACTGGAGTTTTCCAGGGAAAAGGATGATTATCACAATTTGTGATAATCGTCCTTTGGCCTCCAGACTTTGGTGTGCAACTTTAGGACCATCACAGAGCCTGCTTGTATGGTCTGTCCTATGGTCATGCAAACCAGCCTCAGACCCATCAGGCTTTGAGTCACATCTCCCATCAGGTGTGTTTTCCCAGGTGTGGCAGTGTGGGGCTAGAATGAACAAGTTCTCTACCTTTGTGTGAAAAGAAGTGCCTCTGATGCCCTGCAAAGGTGCTCACACAGGGCTGTCCCCATTCTGCCAGCAACAAGGCCAGAAGGGTGGAGATGAAGATGCCATTGCTATTGCACTGGTTCTGTTGGCATCAGGCTGGGACATCTGGTGTGGCAATGCTGAGTCACAGCAGCATTTAATCTTGTGTTGCCACACAGGATAAAGCAGGCCTGATCCATTGTTAGACTGTTGGTGATTCCAGGTAAATTTCAGCAGAACCGAGGGAGATGGAGATAGATGCTGAGAATCACTGCAGCCTTCACCCTGAAATGGAGGTCTAAAAGAGCACAGCAATTGCCCAATTGTGCAACTATTGCCTGACTTTGCATGCATCATTTAGTCTTTCTTTTCTCCCTGCTTTTCTTTCTTTCTTGCTTTCTTCCTCTCTCTCTCTTGTAAATAATTTTTACTGAATTTTTAGAAAAGTACTTCCTCTACCTCAAAAATTCGTCTGTTTCTTGACCTTTACAAAGAGAATAGGGGAAAAGTACAAACCCCAGGCAACTCACTGCTAAATTTTGAATTTGACGTGCAGAACAACAAATTTGTCCAAAATGGGCTTTGCTTTACTGTTAGTCATTTGTACCAACCTGCAATTAAAAGGCTCAGCATTTGTTCTCATCGCTTTCTGAAATTACATTTTCCACTTCCTAGGCCCTGGCCTCAGGCAGTGGATTTTTGAAGCAACCATGCCTTGGTAATTAATGTTTAAAGATGAATGTTGCAACTTCTAAAACAGTGTTGCTGAGTAAACATACAGCAAAAAGAATATAAAAACTGCAAGCCTTTTATGGCAAGCTGAAGAGTTTGGAGGTGTTATCCTTAGAGCTCCCAGCTACAGTGCATTTGATTGCCCCTTCCTCCATTCTTTCAGGTGGGGGGACAGCTGTGCTTTAAAAAAAAGCAGAGCAAAATAAATATCACATCTAATCTGTCATTTCTTTGTGTTACTGACTCATCACCCCAGAAAGCTTGCTGGGAATGATTAACTCAAACAGAGCAAGAGAGGAGACAAGTCTTTGGCATGGTCTCTAGCTATAAAATGACCATTTTGGATTTTTGCAGTAGAGTGGGAGGACGAGGAATAAAATATGAAGGGAGGAAGGCATAAAAATGGAAGTAGAAGTTCCCTTCCTGTGTCATATCCCTTGGTTTGTCATAAGTCTGCCTTTTCTTGGAAGAAGCCATAGCTTCCAGTCTGTTACTAAGCCAGCTGGATTTACCTGTGACAGCAGCCCATCCTACACAGGGCTCCTGTATGTGACAGAAGTGCTCCTCAGTGCCATTAGCTGAGTCTCTCATTGCAGCATTTTTGGTGCTGTAAAAACTGAATTCCTGTATCACCTCTTTCTAACAGAAATCCTTAGGAACTGAAAAGGCAAGTTGGGAAAATCAGCAACTTCAGCATTTTGGGAAGGGGAAAGGGTAGTCTGGATTGAGACTGCCTCCCTACTTGAGGCATCTGATTTGGGCACTGCAGTCCTGATTCAGACCTTTTGGAAGACACGCCTCATGTCTAATGTTTCCCAATAGGTTGGCATGATGCAGCTGTCTCTTCACCTGAGACTCCTAAGACGGGAAAAGTGGGAAAGCACTAGTAGTCTTATGAGTGATTTTTGTAAAAAGGGACATGGGGGTCCTGCTGTACCATGGGAGTGGTGCTGTTTCTCATCTAGCAAAGGCCAATGACAAAATTCTGAACAGATCAACTGGAACAAGAACAGAATACTGCTTTGGGCTAGTTTTCCTTTTTTGTTTTGGTTTGGTTTTTTCCCCTCTTCTTTTCTTTCTTCCAGAAAAGAGAATAAAATTCCCATACCAACATATAGTTGGGAGGTTGGCAAACCAAGTTTAAAGCAGGTTCTTTGGGCTTTGTTACTCTGATATTCTTTTTGCTCAGAAGAAACTAAAACCCAAAGACCTCTTGGAAGAACTCCATGTGTTTGATTCTGCATTTAATTGGAAAAATGGAACCTCGCAAATAATCTTGCCTTTCTGGAAATGAAGTTCAGGCTCTAAAAGAGATTAGTAAAAGACTCATTCAGCACTAGTCATACTCATTTGGGTAACAGGCAAGTTCCTGCCTGTACTCACTTCTAGTATTCATAATGAATGTGTATTAGTGACTTCCTAAGCAGGAATTCCAGCAGAACAGTAAATGAAGTATTGACTTCTGCTTTAATAATTTTCCTGTTCTTTTAGCATTGTTTATATACCATGATCAGTATGCTGATACATTAACTGGATACCAGTGCTTGGCTATTTTATTTTCCATTGCTTTAGTTATGTGTCCAGACTCCTGATCCTAAAAGGATTAAGCTAAATTTTAGATGATTTTGCTGTTGAAGCACAGTGGTTTTGAATTGTTTTGTTTGTTTTTATGACCTCTTTAAAGGTTTTCCAGTAAAGATGAGGTCTTATTTGTACTAAATTTATGCTGGTTGTTCAAAATAGCTTGCTAGTGTTTTTTAATGTTGATTTTTCAGAGATCTAAAAAACACAAGTCCACAAAGCAACTCTGCAGGATGCAGGGTGTTTCAGTTACTCTTCTTGTTAAACATGACACAGATCATTCAGATCATTCAGCATTTTGCTAAAATGAAGCAAATGGAATGGAAAATGCTTTGGTATTAAAAGCAGTGTGTCTTTCAAGAAATGTTTAATCCTAAACCGATCATTCAAATGGAGTGTAATAAAGACTACTGCAGCTGATGAAAAGATTTTGTTCAACTCAGTGGGTTCTCAAACAGGCAGAGATAATATGCTTGCCTTTGCTAACAGTGTTCACTTAGCTGTGTTTCCTTTCCTAGACTGGAAATTAGATTTCCTTCTCTATTGTTTATATAGAAAAATTCAAACAAGTGAAGGAGATCATGTGGGAGCCACTGTTTTTAAAAGAAAGAACTGCATTTGGATAAAAGATACCTCCCAACTTCATGCTCAGGCACTCAGCAGTAGCCAAAATAAGCATCCTTACCGTGTTTCTGAGCTGGAGCCCTTCACCCCATGTGTGTGTCCCCTGCACACACCCCATGCTGCAAGGAGGGCTGTACAAGGGCCCGCATCAATAAACAGCAAGCAGCCAGCTCCTGTGCCAGCTCACACCTGTGTGTGCATGCATTCCCATAGTGAGCATGTGCATGGAGCCACCCATTTATGCACCTAAGGTTAGAAATGTCTGTCTTTTCTTTTTTCCTATGCTTCATTTCCAGCTTATTCCAAATCCTGTCCCCAGACTTAACACACTTTGTTCTTACCTTGCCTGCTTTGAAGGCTTTGGACCTGAACTGAAGGCTCCCAACACCTTCAGCTGTCTGCAGATCAAACTTCAATTGGTACATCTTTATGTAGGGGGCATTTTGAAAGAACTCTGACTGTTGATTTCCAAGGCTGTTTCATAAGGATCAAGACTCAACAAGAAGTAAGCAGAGGCACAAGAACAAATTGATCAGAGGTACAGTCACCCAAGCATCAGGGACAAGGATGAAATTTTGGGATTTCGCTTTTTACTTGCACCACAGCATAATTTGGTTTTGTCTCTTGCTTTGCCCTTATTTGCTGGACCTTATTTCTACACCTTTAGAATTAAAATGGCCAAAGTAACTTATACTCCAAATTTTTTTTCTTGTTCTGAAACTGGCAGTGAATGCTGTAGGTTTTTCTTAAGGGAAAACTTTCTCTAAACCTTTCTCTAAAGGTGCCGCGCAGAGAGAGCTTCTCTCCAGGAGTATGGGGCAGGGAGAAAAAAAAAAAACTCTATTAGTGACCTTTTTGCTATGTAACCTTTCCTTAAAATGCCAGCAACTGAACTTCTACAGAGAGAACAGCAAATATTGAAAGAGGAATGTGAAGGACATTATGAAACAAGAAAGTAAGAAAAGGGATCTGCTCAAACAAGTTTCTCAGGAAAGGTGATGTAATATGTACTGTAGAAAATCCTAGCAGTTGACATAACAAAGTTGCTTTCTAAATAGCTATGGATGCCAGCAAGCTGGGAGAAACAAGAATGTACAGCTGGGAATACAGCTGAGCAGACTGTTTTGTCCAAAAGAAATATAGTAGGTGTAAAACTTCTATTCAGAAGATGTCATTGAAGTTTAATTGAAAAGTTTCCTTTTAATTAAGGCTGAGTGACCACTGAATGAAAGCCTCCTTTCTGTTGAGGCTGTTCTTGGTGGTACTCTGAGATTAACCCATGCAGGCTGGCAGTACTCAAGAGGCTGCTCTTGGGATGCCACAGTACACAGTGCTGTAGCAAGTGCTCAGTCCCATTCATAGACTTCTGCCAATGTTTATCAACCTTTTAACTGCTGTCTTGAGAATTGCCCAACTTTTTATTGACTGACTTGCTCATATTCCAGCCTGGTTTCCTGCATAAATGGCTGTTCTCAACAGATGTGTTCTGCATGTATCCACGTCTGTATACATAAAATTTGGGAACCTCCCTCTCTGTTACAACAGACCTGACAGAGACACACAGGGTCTTTGAGATAATGAAAACATTAGAATTTTGTGGCAGCCTGTAGCTGGATATTGGAGAACATCTAGATCTCCTCTGCAGGGGAAATGCTGCAGGGAACTATGCTCTGTGTCAGCCTTGGAGACTCCAAAAGGCCCAGATCTGGAGTGTGTCAGATGTTCTTATTCCACTTCTTACACAGCTTACAAATTTTAAGGTCTTGGTTGCAGACTGAAACCTTAAAAAGCACTGGTTCCTCTATTTTGTTCCTCCTGGTACTTATAGAGCAAAATATTGCATGTGCAAAGACTGATACATGCAAAGTGTCATTAGGAGTGCCACTTTCAGGTAGGTTAGTTCATAAAAGTTGGATAAACTGCCAAACAAGAAATCCCAGCTCATGGACTGTTGTGGATTTATTCATCATTACAAACAGAGGAAGAAATGTATAGGAAGAAGGTCTATTATGAAAATTACATTTAGTTATAGGGCTGACATACACAGTCTGTTACCTGCCTTTTACAAATACTGTTAGCACCATTCAGGCAGCCAGCAGGCATGGTTTCATGCAAAGGAGTGTGTGGTTATTTTCATAAGGTTTTTATGAATGCTTGGAGAAGGCTGCAGGAGATCCTTGATGTTTTTTATAGCGCTGCTGTCATGTCAAAATATCATGTACCAGTTTCTCTCTTTACTATAAACGGGTTATAAGGAAAATTACGGCAGTAGGACTGACAGTGCTAGATGTCTTGGAGTGGGAGGTTGAGTGACCATGTTGAATCCTTAGGAATGTTTGAATATTCTTCCCCTGTCTCTGATACATACCCACTCCTGCATTTTCTCTTTTGTTTTAGGTGGAGTCTGGATAAGAGCTGTCAGGAGGGCTTTCTGGCCAGTTTCAGGCTGAGTGATAGCAATCTCGAACCACAGATTTAGAGGAGTGGCACCAAAAGGCCTGTTGTTAACACCGAGTGCTTTGCAGGACAAGTAGCACTCCCTGCTTCCTCAGCTGCCTGAAAATCAAGCCGTAGATACTGACCTTCAATCAAAATAAGGTAAGTCAAGACTGCATCAAGCATGACTGAGTTTAAAATATGGTCATCAGCCTATCATGCAACTGTTTGAAATTAAGCCAGGGAAAAAATCACTAGAGCACAACAATGTGCAGAGGTCACTAATATTGCCAGATCTCTCCCTGTTGTGCTAAAACTGCAGTAAAATGATGTCTTGTTAGTGCTGTGCTGAAGTTGGGCTGCCTGTCAAGAGCTTCCTGAGTTACAGCAGTGCTGAGGCTGGCAAGCTGCAGTAGATCCACTGGAAAAGCCCTGCCCATTGCAAAAAGCAGACATGCTTCTTGGCCATGACAAAGGTTCTAGATTTCTTTGCGCAGCTCCAGTTTATTTCCTAAAATGCAAAGTGCCGCAGATGTCTAAGCTGGCCTGTTACTTAAGAGAATAAGTGGTTTTAATCAGTCTACCTTTTTTTTTTTTACTGAGGTAAAAAAATCCAAGCATCATACTTGTTACTGATCAAAGTAACAATCTCTATTCCTAAAGACACAGTCTCCAGAAAGGTTACTATATAGCTAAAGAGAGACCTTTCAAAGGTAACCTTTAAAAAAAACCCAAACCCATACCTTCAGCTGGGATACAGTATCTCTGAAGTATCTCCTAAGGTCACTGTATCACTAAGGATAAACCATTCAAAAGCCTCAATTTGGGTTGTTGCGCTCAATTTAACAGAAAGTTTCTCCCAGCTAAGACTTGATGGCAGCAGTGATGGGGTAGGAGGAGCTGGCTGCTCTCATTTGGCACAGAGCTGAAATCCGGGGTCCAGTTAGCCTTTAGGCCAACATTTGATAAAACTCTCATGCCACACTTTCATGTGAAGCCCTTTTTCATTCCCACAAAACCCATATACTACTCTTGTTTCCCTATAAAAGTCCATTTGGAGCATTACAAGCTCATGTCAGATATGAAGCTATTTAAATCTTTCATGATTTCTTACATTTATTTTTTTTGACATTTGAGCACAGTTGCTAAAAGTGTGAGAACAGTTGCTGCTCCTGTTTGACTTTCTTCACCTCTCCACTCTTCAACCAGATGACATTTTAAGCTTTAAATTGTGTGGAAGGGAGCACATCAAACACCAGGTCTGAGAGAAATGGGAAACAACATCATGGCACTGCAGCTGTGGCTGCTGCAAACAGCCCAAATCTCCAATTAAAAATCAAACACTTTTTTTGTGTAAAGTGTGAGCAATCCTTCAAAAAGCTATATGAGATCCATTTTCTGGGTGATGGAATGTATGCCTACCTAGTTTGCTTCCTATGAGTTTATTAACACTTGCTGCATCTGTAACTGCTGGTTATTGAAGGAAGGACTTAACTCCCTCTCAGAACCCTGGGACTAATCAAAACATTGCCATTAACATTTAATGAGAAAGTTGTTGTTTTCACCAATAAACTGGCTTAGACTCTTAGTCCCCTAAAACACAAAGGCACATACTGCATCATAGTTAACAAGCAGATTCTGGGAAAAAACCACAGTCAGAGGAGTGCAGCTTGTTACATAAGCTCAAAAAGAAGCCTGAGTTCTTCTTACTTTCCCCAGCAGTACTGGAAATTATGTATGCTAACCAGTATTTATCTCTCAGCAAAGTATCCAGACCTTGTAGGGCCAGTTCTTTCTTCCAGTAAGACCTCTGCATCATAAAGCAACTCAGACAAAACATGCCCAGGGGAAAATCCCATGCTTATAGGAGCTTCCAAGCCTTTTCAACAATTTGCTCCCCTAGCTGCTTGTCTTGGGTGGAGGAGAATGGCCTGTTAGAAAGGAATGGCCAACATAAATGGAAAACAACAAGTAAGACACTTGAGGGTGTGTCTAATGGATCCAGATATCCAGGTCAGCAAAGGAAGTATTGCCCCTCATCTGTGCCACATTCAGGCAGAGGAGCCAAACTGGTAAATTGTAGGTCTGTCAGCCAATTCTGCCACTTTGGAGATGGGGTGGGTTTACACTGAAGAGGCATCACATGAGGAGAGTAACATTTTGGATGCTGTGGGTCCTCATTATTAAATTAAAAAGATTAGAGACAGCTACCACAAACAGTTTCACAATGCATTTACCAGGAGAACAGTAAGAGCAGTGAATAGTGCATTTTCTTGCAAATGCTTCATTTAACAAAGATTCAATATGTATCTGAACACTGTCACTTCGAGATACATTCCTAATCTGACTTTGCCCCTGCTTATAGTGGTATAAATAAAGAATTATTCTACTGAAGTCAGCAAAGTCATTATCTGGTTTTAAACTGAAAAGAGAGAAAATCTTGCTTTTCACTTCTACAGCAAATCCCATTCAATTCAATATGAACACAACAGTATATTTAAAAAGAAAGACAACTGAAAAATCCATGTCCTTAATTCAGTAAAGGGTTATGGAGCTGAATTTCCATCTGAGCACTCTTGGATATTGAAACATCAAACCTCCTTTTCCTGTGGTGTAATCTAGTTTATTTTCCCCAGAAAATACATTTTCCTTTTTGTAAACAGAAACCACATGAAGCACATGGTTATCTTCTGAGCAAAAATATCAAAAACCATAGTTTCCACATATTAAAAAACCAAAAACCCACAAACTTCTGTTTTAAAGCTAAATGCAGGTTTTTAGTCTATCAACATTTTTATTCCATGCCAGTTTTTTGCATAGTGGAAAATATGCACCCTTAGGAGAATAACAACTATGATAAGTTGTTAAAAACCAAATTATCTAGGAAGATAATTTTTCCCATTATGAAAGTGGCTTGTCAGATATTAGTGAAATGAATTAGTCACTTAGCACACCTTTCACAACCTCTAAAAATTAGATTATGGCCCATATGTTCCCATGAGTAACAGGAACAGTTCTCCTCTTTGTATATACAATAGTATCACTCCACAGTTTCTGATTATGTTTTATTCACATGGAAGCATAAATCAGTCCAAAGCCTAAAACTAACCAAACCAGTTAATATTTCTCACATGAGCTATTCTATTTGCATGCCTTTCCAGATTAAACATTTCTTGTTGTGATATAAAAAGATTCCAGGTACATGGTATTCAATGGAAAAAAGTGAGCATGACATTTAGAAGATGTATGCATGAGTTAAAAAAGGAAAGTGGGAAAACAACAGGAAGAGAAAGGAACATTTGCTTATGACCATCTTAATAGAGGAAAGTAAATTGAGCAATACCTACCCAATTTATCCTGTGATTTATCCCTCTGCTTTCTGGAATTATTCAGCATAGAGGAGGTGCAAGCAGGATGCCATCAGTGTATGTTAATACCTGAAGAAGATGGAGCCAGGTTCTGTCCAGCAATGCCCAAGGATGAGACCAGAGGTGATGGGCACAAGCTGAAGCACAGGAGATGCAGTCTGAACATCAGGGAATGGTTTTTCACTAGGAGGTTGACAAGGAGCTGGCACAGGTTGCTCGGAGAGGTTGTGGAGTCTCTATCCTTGGAGATACTCAAAAGCTGTCTGGAAAGCATTCTAGACAACCACCTGTGGGCAACCACATTTGAGCAGGGATACTGGACAAAGTGACCTCCAGAGATCCCTTCTGACCTCAGCCCTGCTGGGACACATGGTCTCTTGTCAGGAACAAAGAGAGGAAGCTCATTTTCTTGGTTGGCTCCCTTCAATCAGAAGCAGCAAATTTGAGAAATGTAAAGGGTGCTCCAGCAGCCAGGAGATCTGGAAAAGACCCCAATAACCACATAGAGTTTGCAGTGAGAAGGAGTGAAATGCTTGTAGGGTCAGGATAGACAACTTTACATCTGGCAAATTCATAGAAACAAAGCAGGAGAGCAAGAATTGCATATTACTTCCTTTTCACTCTGAGAAAAATTCCCATCCTTTTTGTTTCAGAGAGGGAACTGTGATGTAACTAATAAATATACAGCAAGTGTCACCTGATGACTACAGCTTTGTGCCAGGGGCTTTGGGAGCACAGGAGGAATGCTGAGAGCTACTGTGAAAGGACTTGTCATGTACAAAAGCAAAGCATAGAAATCTGGATGCCTGAATTTTATGGCATTTGATTTCAGTGCAGACAACTGAGACCTTGGTAGTTTCTGGGACTATAATTACATTTTTCAGACTGGTTTGCCATATCATTCTCCTGCACAGGATGAAGCTAAGCACATCAAGGGGTGCTTGAGTCCAGGAGCTACATAGTGCCAGTTGCTGGTGCTGCAACACTTAGCTCTGGCCCTAGGCAAGAACCCCAGACTTTGAGGCTTCACTGTGTTCACACTGTTCACACAGTAAAAAGGGTCACACATCTCCTCCCTCTCCTGTGACTAGCTTGTCCTCTTGCATGCCAGCTCTCCTACATGTTAAAAAATATCTGAACTGGACTCAATGCAATGTAGAGCAGTTGAAAAAGCTGGAAGGCAAATTCAGTGCCAGGTTAAACACTGGATCCTTTTCTTGGATCATCACCTTCCTGGTACAGCTTCCCATGAGCATGGCAAGACAAGGGAGCTATTTCTTTTTCTTCTTTAGTGAACATTACAAAAGGACAGCACCGGGGAGGCTGAAACTTTCAAAACCATGAACTTTGTAATGCTGAATTCAAGCAAAAAGCAGCACTTTCAAATCATAGCTGGCACATTAATGTAACCCTGACAAGCAAGATACAGAGGTGCAAATGTAGAAGTAGCAAGTTTCTGTCTGAAAATACAGCATCTTGCCAAGTTACAAGGAAGGCATTTTTTCATACCACTAACAGCAGACAACGCTGTTATCAAACAGAGTGGTGCTGTTGGAAGTGGAGGAGGAGCTGTTTTTACATCTTCCTCTAGACTGTTTCTGCTTCTAATGAATACAAGTGCCTGCTGAAAAGCTCTGTACTAAAGTACCTGGGTTTCTTTAACAGGGAGCTCAGAGGAGCACTGCCAGGGTTAACATACTGTTTTTCCCAGGCATATACAAGTGTATGGCAGAAGGCACTATGCAAATAGTGTTCACAGAGTTTATAATTTCCTGTTGGAACAGCAAAGAAAAG